CACACTAGCCGGCTTTTAAAAATGGCGGCGCCGGCTTTATGCTAATGAAGCCCGGGAAATTCAAATCCCGGGCTTCATTAACAAGTTCGGTATGCATACATTACCCCCCTAGTTCGAACTAGGGGGGTAGTGTAGACATACCCTAAGGGTGTTGTTGGCAGGGAGTCAGAAGAACCAATGGGATACAGTACTGAAATTTAAATTGTAAATATATACCTGCTGCCATTTCTCTTTGTGTGTGTTTTAAGCCAGGAGTTAGGAGAAAGAGAATGATTTCAACCAATGAGGACTACCATGCCTCCAAGAAATTCAGGGCAAGGACATGAACTGGACCATAAAGAGATCATGAGTAAATAAGGGGAAAATGTATATTTAGTTGCAATCAGGTTATTTTTCTTTGTTTTGGTTGTTTGGTTTAACTTCTCTGTGTGAATCCATGTCTTCCCTCCCCCACTCACCATATTTAATCTACAGCCCAAAGATACCATTTTTTCTGTGTTTTAATCTGTTCTTTTCTCAATTGCTTTGTAACACCTAGCAACCAAGTATGCTTTATCAAGTATATCTTTTTTCCTTTTGTTAATAAAATCACCTTTTTAAGGCAATGAATTGATTCTTGTGTCCTAGAAGGTAACAGGGGGTCTGGGTGTGCCTGCCTCGCCTGAGAGGTCGGGTACCAGGGACACAATTTGTTTTCGGGGGGAGTTCTTTTTCCAGCTGTCTTGTGGCAAAAGAGCTTGGGGTACCCCAGGGAAGAATTTCAAGTGTTTCTTCCTGGTTTTTTTTGTGTTTGATTTAAAAATTTGTTTTAAGGGATTAAATCACTTGATGGTGGCAGCTACCTCCCAAAGTCACTGAATCTGTGACTCTGGGGAGTTTTTGTAAGCAGAGCCTATAGAGACAAGGTATTTAAGGTCTCTTGTGGGCCCCCACCTTCTGCATTTGGAGTGCCAGAGTGGGGAACAGCCCTGACATTGTCTGAAATATCTTTATACATTCCATCAGGGCTGCTGACAGGCAGGGGCAAAGACGACTGCTCCTGCCTGCCATCACCACTGTTACTTCAGCAGGGGCCAGAGACCCAAGCTCTTTAACTCATTGCTGGTGCCGCTGGCGGGGCATGCCCTGTGGCACCAGAGATGCTGAAGGGCTAGCTGGGGGAGGCTAGCCCCAGCCCTGTTCCTTCCACTTGAGGCCACGCCCTTTCTGGGTGCCCCAGAGCCAGTTCCCCTCAAGGTCTGCTGAACTCTCATATAATCATAGGACTGGAACGGACCTCGAGAGGTCATCGAGTCCAGCCCCCCGCCCTCAAGGCAGGACCAAGCTCCATCTACACCATCCCTGACAGATGTCTATCTAACCTGTTCTTAAATATCTCCAGAGAGGGAGATTCCACCACCTCCCTTGGCAATTTATTCCAATATTTGACCACCCTGACAGTTAGGAATTTTTTCCTAATGTCCAATCTAAACCTCCCCTGCTGCACTTTAAGCCCATTACTCCTTGTCCTGTCCTCAGAAACCAAGAGAAACAAATTTTCTCCTTCCTCCTTGTGACACCCTTTTAGATATTTGAAAACCACTATCATGTCCCCCCTTAATCTTCGTTTTTCCAAACTAAACAAGCCCAGTTCATGAAGCCTGGCTTCATAGGCTTCTCTAGACCTTTAATCATTCTTGTCGCTCTTCTCTGTACCCTTTCCAATTTCTCCACATCTTGCTTGAAATGTGGCGCCCAGAACTGGACACAGTACTCCAGCTGAGGCCTAACTAGCGCAGAGTAGAAATAAGTTAGGTAGGAAATTAAACACTTACAATGATGAATTGGCAGAAATGAAGCTGCTTCCAAATCAGGTTTTTAAATGAAGTTTGAACAACCCAGCCTGCTTTTGAAGCATGCAAGGCTTGCCCTGAAGGTGAGAGTATAGCAGCAGTAGAGACTGGTGATGATCAGTGATAATCCTTGTGTGCAAGAGTGGATGAAAAATCATAGGAAGGTGGGGGTTGTAAATATTCTCCTGAATCTGTCTGATATTTAAATAAATGAAAATTAATGAAAAGTGATGCGTTAAATACCCCTTAAAAAGAACATATGTGAAACTAGAAGACTTACCTGGCATTACCTGGGCCCTTCAGGACAGAGGGCTGGCAGTGTGGGGGATGAAGAAGTAAGGGCAGGGCTTTGGGGATGAGAAGCCACAGATTACGATGCTGAGGGCATGGGGGTGCAGAAATCAGGGTGGGGGTTGAGGAGGAGCTCAGGACGGGACTGGAGATATGGGGGTGCGAGAGTTGGGGGGTCAGCAGGGGCTTTCAGGAATCAAGGCAGGAGCTCCCGAGCCCCTCCTCAGGACCGGGGGTGGGGATGCAGGAATCAGAGCAGGAGGGGCTTAGAGCGGATGGTGGGGCGGCCAGCTCAGGGTGGGGGACTACACACCCAGCCCTCCGGCTTGTCCCTGGGCCATGGAGGGGATCTGTGTACCCCACCCTTTGGCTTCTTCTGGGGTGCTGCTGGGGCAGAGCAAAGGAGGCCTGGGGCGGGTGGCCACACACAGGGTGCCAAGAATCAATGGCTATTTTTGACTTTTGGGGCCTTAAAACTTATTTCTGGCTGAGATAATTGGTTATATTTGACAGAAGAAGATGGTGTTATACTTAATTGTTTCTATATATGCGGTATATTGCCACAGAGAAGGCAATTTGCCTTGGCCTTACATCTGAAATAATGTTTAGAAAAAAACAAACAAGAATACATACTATCCCACAAACAAGAGGCTGAAAATCCCCAGCTAATGTGATGAGATTCATAATAATTTGGTTAGCTGACCCACTGTCATTTGTATTGTAACTGAGAATATGCTAGAATATGCTGATTTGATAATAGCCTTCAACTCCTGAAGGGGGAGGAGGATTCCAAAGAGGATCTGTTGACTGTGATTTTGTTTGTTTGTTATTCCATTGTTATTTGAGGGGAAATGGGGGATACTAAATTCTATAGTCTTTTCTAAGGGAAAACACCCTGAAGTGTTTTGCTGGAGTAAATACTACAGAATAGTTGTCTGTTGTTGTGTTGTTATCTGAGCTAACAGCAATATTATTTCTAATGTGATATCTCAGTATGGCTACGTCTACACTGGCCCCTTTTTCGGAAGGGGCATGTTAATTTCACTAGTCGTCGTAGGGAAATCCGCGGGGGATTTAAATATCCCCCGCGGCATTTAAATAAAAATGTCCGCCGCTTTTTTCCGGCTTTTAAAAAAGCCGGAAAAGAGCGCCTAGACTGGCCCCGATCCTCCGGAAAAGGGCACTTTTTCCGGAGGATCGGGGCCAGTCTAGACGCTCTTTTCCGGCTTTTTTAAAAGCCGGAAAAAAGCGGCGGACATTTTTATTTAAATGCCGCGGGGGATATTTAAATCCCCCGCGGATTTCCCTACGACGACTAGTGAAATTTACATGCCCCTTCCGGAAAAGGGGCCAGTGTAGACGTAGCCTATCAGTATAAGAAATCCTCTCTCTCCAACTTTTCTTTTTTTAACATTGGCACGAAAAGCCTGTCTGTGTTCTCCTTAGGTTCATGTAAACAAAAATCCATCGTTTGCTAATATTTTATTTGAATAATGATGTTCATATCATTCATCTGAATTTTATACGTACACATAAACAGTACTTGAATAGCGTAACATCTATTATAGTTATAATTTATATATGTGGGCTGAACAGCTACCCAGAAATGGAAGTCCATTGTAAAAGAGACGCAAAGAACAATTGTAAATTAATATCTTAAACACATGAATAACGAGGTTGAGTATCAATAACAGGTTTTCATCAGAGTAGGGGTCACATCCTAGTCAGTAGATGTCACTGACATTATCTCAATAAACAAGGCAGGCAAATCATAATCCCAGGAAAGAGAAGGCCCGGATTGAAGTAATTTTCACTTTCTTCCAATAAATTACACCAGTTTATCCACCTTGAGGTTCTCAGACTGACATAACTTTTTTCTCCACCTCTGAATTTGATTCAGTTCAGCAAAGGACTTGAGAACACTCACATAACTTTACATAGTCAACAAGTATTATTGAAGTCACTGAGATCACTGAGATGCTTAATTTTAAGCATGTACTTAAGTATTGTGCTGAATCAAGACCTAAAAGAACTTCCATTAAAAACACTTCAGTGTTATTTATGCAGTCAACAATCGTCATCAACTTTAACAGCAATAATTATTGGTAATGGTAACAATTCCTGGTTTATAAACGAGGTGGTTTTAGAGTATATTTTGGAACCTACCATGAAATCAATATGTGGACAACATTCCTATTAAAGTCAATGAATTTGCAGGATTTTTGAATTGCAGAATTAGCTCCTTACAGGGATAAACTCTTGCCTTCTTTACCTCAGACATAAGGGAGTGTAGAGGACACAGAGCAATGGATCTGCAGCCCTGAAGCGGAAGTGGCAATTTGTGGATCAAGCAGCCTTGAGTGGGGAACATTCTTTAAGCCTAAACCCCAGGAAAGCCTCATCAAACAGCCTTGTTACTTAAACTGTGCACTGAGAATAGGATTTAGTCAGTAATGTTAACTGCTGAGAATTAAGATAGTACGGGTTTTTTTGGGAGTGGGAGGGAGTAATTAGAAAACCTGTACTAACTAGCAGAGTGGTTTTGTGGTTGCTGTGACTCCATAGAAGTTATTCTGGACTTTTATCGGTGTACTTTGGGATTATGACCTCGTTTATGAAGCTTGTACATTTGAACTTTTAAAGTATAAATAACTATATGGCATGTAAATACATCCTGCTGGCAACATAGGTGTCAGTCTCAGAGGGGACCCATTCTATTACCTTTCCTAGTAAGAGGAGGAATACTATGACAGTGGATACACAGGGGAAATGGTACACTCAGAATGGAGTTATGGACTCTACTCTATCTGTACTGGCTTGTGTGCTGCCATATTTGGAGATAGTAAAGGATCAGCCTAGGCAGAGATGCCTGTGGAATATGAGAATTAAATTATTGCCAAAACAGCAAAAATATTCTTTTCAAGAAACCAAATTCTCACATTAATTTACAGTAAAAAGAGAAGCTACAAAACCTTCTGAAAAACAGAATCTTTCCTTTCCCAGTAAGAGATATAAAGGATGATTTCTTTAACCACAAAAGCTTACTAAAATGTGGATAAATTACTGCAAAGGCTGGTTTCTGTAACATTTAAATCAATCTTCTGTTTATTATTTATTTGCCTGAAGAATTTTGTGTTAATTTCTGCAAAAAAAGAAAGATACAGACAAAGTTCAAATTAATGTGTGAAACAAATCCTAATTGTGAGACTATTCTTTACAAATAACTTAAAAGGTCAAGAACATGGCCACATTCTTCACCATATGTCAGCTGACTTGGGCTAGTATGTGGCCTGGAGCATTTACCACTCTTTAAAGAGAAGTATGGTAGATATTGTTGTTGTGTGCACTCCTTCAGCTCTGTCAAAAATGACATACCTGTTTTGGGTACAATACCTTTGGGATCTACTGTCTTTGCACAGCTCCTGCTCCACTGTCCCCAGTCCATTGGGTATGTTTACACTGCAGTGTTTAACACTGTCTTGTGTCAACAAGTTTGAGCTTTGGGATCCTAACAGGGTAATCCCTAATGGGGTCCCAAGCCTAACATATACACAACAACTAAAAAGCCCTAGCCTAACATATACACAGCAATTAAAAAGCCCTGTAGCCCTAGCCCAATTCAACTGAAATATGTCGGCCACGGGTGTTTACCCACAGTGGCTTTATGCCAAAATCTAGTCCTTGAATTTTAAGAATATCTTTGTACTTGTGTTGTAAAAACAGTATGTTTTGAGCATATGTAATGTTGTAGAATACCAAATGCAGAGCATTTTGTTTACATATTATATACAACATATACAACAGCCTATATACAGTGAAGTATATAACATTCCCAAGCCACCTGAATCATCTTTAGAGCTGCATTGCTATATTTAAACAGGAGCTCAGTCAACTTGCTGTTAATTTGAATGTTTGAGCTACATAGTTCTGGTTGATTGCCACTGAACTTGTTTGAATATGAACAATTTTACCAGGTGTCCTGTATTCAGCATAGGGAAATATGGTCAACCTCTTTCTAAATTAAGTGTAGCTACTAGTGCACGATCTGTTCAACAGGCTAATATTAATGGTGACCCTACAACTAAATCTCTTCATCTTTTGCTGAAAATGTATCACTATCTTAACTGTTAATTTTTTTACTTCCCCTTTTCAGTGAGGAATGAGGTACTAGGCAGTTTTTAAATGATGGGCCTAAAATTAATGGAAATTAGGAACGCTCAATACAAATAGCATACCATCTGCAGAAATTCAATTTCTGTTTGAAGAGCTTCACAAACATTTTCCAAGTCATCTTCTTTGTAAATTTCTATTTCTTTTTTAATTCTGTTTCAATAAAAAAGAGCAAGGTCATAGCCAAGGCTAGTCAGTTGTATTATTGTTTCATTCCATTTTGGTCCAAACCAGATCAGTGTGGGCAGACCCTGATATCCTACCTGCACAGATCTGATTGCATGATCAAGAGCTAGATGTGCAGTTATGATAGAGCTGCATATTCAACACTGTGTAGTTCCTAGAGATTATTCATCACTGGCAGCTATAGCAGGGATGAAGAGAACTTTAGAAAATGACAACCTCATAATTCACTTTCTTTTAATACATGGATTTGAACCCATGGCCTCCACAGACTCCCACTACTATTGTCTCTGCAGTTATCACTGCTGTCTCCCCATTGCTGTTAGATCTTTGTCCCCTGCTGTTGCTGTCTTCTCCATCTCAATACCAATAGCCTATGTGAGGGGTTCTCAAATTTCTCCACTGTGTGAAGCAAGTTCAGTACAGTGATTCTCAGATTCTACCTCCCTTCCTGTGCACTGTGCGGTGCCCCATTTCTCCTTTCGTTCACTCTCACATGATAATCCTATGGTAAGTGCATCAATACTAGACAAGTAGCAGTATTAAAATATATTTTATTTTTAAAAGTATTTGTAGCTAGCTAAATTGTCACGTGCATTAGCAGCTGGAAATAAGGAGGTACACACCTTGTGACAGGCTACCTCTCTGTGTGGCCCACCAGAAAGTGCTCTATAAGCCAATGATGGTTCAATCTGGGAGCCGCTGTGTTAAATCTTTCTTAAACTGCCGGGCTCTAGGTCTTCATGCTGAGTTCCAATAGGAATGTTATGGAGAATGAAACTGGGCACAAGGACAAACCTGTCTAATTGTCTCTCAGCAACCAAACACATGCAAACACAGAATACAGGCAGTACCCGGGTTACGTACAAGATAGGGACTGTAGGTTTGTTCTTAAGTTGAATTTGTATGTAAGTCGGAACTGGTACATATTGTAGGGGAAACTCTAGCCACACATTTCTCCAGAGCTCAGTTTTATTCTCCCACACCTCACTTCCCTCAGTCCTTTATTCTCAAGCTGAGGTGTCTGCTGAGAAAAGCCGCTCTGCGTCTCCCTGGTCTGCTGGGGGGAAGCAGCTAGTGCGGGGTTGCCTCACCCCGTTTGTAAGTAGGGATCTGATGTAAGTCGGATCCATGTACCCGGGGACTGCCTGTATGTGCCTGAGGCTACGTCTAGACTACAGGCTTCTTTCGGAAGAAGCTTTTTTCAGAAGAGATCTTCTGAAAAAACTTCTTCCGAAAGAGAGCATCCACACTGCAAAAGTGCATGGAAAAAGTAATCTGCTTTTTTGAAAGAGAGTGTCCAGACTGAATAGAAGCTCTCTCAAATGTAAGCTGTGATTGCTATGGAGGGAATGGTCACCAGGACACCTGTGCTTTTTTCCTCTTTCCTCTTCTTCCGAAAGAACTTCCTCTTTCCCATCATCACACGCCTTTTTGCAAAAGAGCTCTTTCGCAAAAAGGCTTCTTCCTCATAGAATGAGGATTATCAATGCCGGAAAACCCCCTCTGTTCTTTTGATTTTCTTGTGGAAGAATGCAGGTGCAGTGTGGATGTTCTTCAAGTTCTGTTGGAAAAACAGCTGTTTTTCCAACAAAACTCTGTAGTGTAGACATATCCCGAGTCAACCTCTGGCATAGAAACAGGTCACACAGCAGCTTCTTGTCAACAAAATTCTGAATTGCAGCAGATACTGATACTGAGGGAATGTCAGCTTCAAATATTATTGTAGACTGGATAGAGCCTAATACTGTCTCCAGAGTGGCCTTAGAGGTCATGACCACAATAACAGATGCCCTGTTCATCATACAACTAGAGTCTGGGCAGCAATTAGAGAAACAACTATGAATTCACAAGAGAATACTTCTAAAGAGAAGGAGTGGGTTCTGAAGGGGAATAATAGTCTGTTAAGGTAACAGTCCAAACTACTGTGCATCACCCAATGTATTTAATGGACCAAGAGAAAAGCTAACCTCAAACTTTTAGTGCACTGAAGTATATGAAGCAATACAATTATACTGTGAGCCCTGTCATGGCTGCTAGCAGGTAGAGAAACAGAAGAGAAATGCAAAGTTAAGTGATACACTTACTGTATCAGAGGAACATTTTCAAAGGTCTCTCTGGATATTTTGGGTCTACCATATAGGCCAACAAAAAGGGAAGACTTAGGTGCTAGGGGAGTGCATGAGACTGACTTATGTGCTCTCTGGCCTCTCACAGCAGGTGTTGAGAAATTATCAACTTTTAAGTGTTTCATATATTGGGTGTGAGAGGATGTTAGTGAGTTAGTCCTAGTAATGTGTATATGTTGATGACATTTCTTTGGTCAGTGTAACATGGGCGGAGCATCTCTTCCATTCGAGATAGTGGTGCTTAGCATAAAAATGGCTTTGCTAACAGTGAAAGAAAAAAGTGTGACCTTGATTTTCTAGAAGTAGCATTTTTGGATGCAGAGATAGAATAGATGGATTTAACAGGACAGAGACTGAAATTTTGTTTACATTTTTTCCCATTAAAGTACCAAAAAGGCAAGCCTTAGAATGGGATAAGCTTGAGCCATATATGATGTGTGTGAGGTCTGTCTGTTTAGAAAAGGGTTACAGAAGCTTACAGAAGCATTTATTTGTAAAGAAACTGCATATATATATATAATATGTACTCTGAAAAAAAGGAAGAGTTAAAAGAAGGATTTAAAGATGATCTGAAATTATAGTCTCCAAACTTTTTACAAAGACAGTTCTTTTACAGACATTTTAAAATGTGTTGTCTCCCCATAGAAAATGCTTTTTTTTTAAAACTGCTGCAAGATACTAGAATCAAGATGGATTCTCATCTAGTCAGTCTAATCTAGGGTTTTGATGTATTTGGAGACAGCCTAAAATGTTAGGGAAAAGAATGGGCCTGTTCTGAACTGCACGGTTGCACAATGTTTGGTTGAATCTCTGATAGCACCAGACATTGCTTGTTTTCCAAGTTTAAATTATTTCTATCTTTAGTTTTCCTATAAAAAATTGCTGAAAAGTGATGCACATAAATAACTAAAATCAAATGGAAGCAACACTTCCATAGCTTCATCACTGAGTTCTATGTTTTCTCTCTTAACAGAAATCCAGAATTCCTGATATGTCATATTTCAAAATTTGGTGGCAGGTTCAGCATGTGATCACCTGGCAATTCTAAGTGATTTTCTTGAACTGACCTACCTAAGGTTCAAATTGAGTCAACTCTAACCAAAGCCAAGTCTACAGTAAACCTGGAAGGTCAGCTTCAGGTACGTGACTCCAGCCACATAGAATATGTAGCTGGAGTTGGCTTACCTTAAGCCAGGGGAAGGCAATCATTTTTGACAACGGGTCACTCTAAGATTTTGGGAAGTGGTCAAGAGCCTTTCTCTTCCATGATATTAATGGAGGAAGTGTAGGGTCTGGGCTGGAGGTTGGGTGTAGAAGGGAGCTTGGGGTGCAGAAGAGTGGGGTCTGGGAGGGAATTTGGGTAAAGGAGGCAGTTGTGACCTAAGGCAGGGGACTAGAGTGCAGGGTTTTCGAATGTGACCTAAGTCAGGATAAGGTTGTGACCTAATGTAAGGGGACTGTTACCCCTTACTAAAACTCTGTGGGAGTTTTTGGTTTGCCAGCTCGCAGTATCTGAAGGGGAAGAGTTCATGAGACTGACTGACCCCAGAGACAATGGAAAGCAGCCAACACTCCAGCTCAGCCTGATTGACAGGTTGGACAGGCCAGTGAGGAAGGGGAGAGGCCAGGCCCCGTCCTCCCTGTGAGCTGGGATTGTTCTGGCTCTCTCTCTGAACAAACAAGCTGTGTGCAGAAGAGGTCCTGCAAAGACAGAGAGCTGAAATAGGAGGACAAGCTGTGTGAAGAAGTCCTGCAAAAACAGGGAGCTGAGAGACTAGCAAAGCAATCTGTGTGCTGAGGGGCAGTTTTTGCAGCAGCTGAGCCTGACACACACAGCTCAAGAGCGCAGACCCTGTGTTGAGCAGCAGACTGGCAGTGCTCAGAGAGCCAAAAGGAACAGAGAAGCAATGCAAGAAGCTAGAGACTGGCCACACAGCACAGCCTGCAGCTGGATGTGGTGAGCAGCTGGGAACTGCAAAGTGTGGGGAGAGGCTCTGGACTGGGAGAGGGGTCTGGCCACTTAGAGCTTGAGGCTGTGTGGTCACTGCCAGAGCAAGCGTGTCCAGCCTGCAGCCTCCTGCAGCACATCCAAGGCCTCTAAGGGGCCTCTAAGGAAGAGACTGTAGACTGTCCTTACACTCTGCAGGCTGCTGTTTTGATGTCCCTGTGCTACAGAGCAGGGCTGTGTGTTCTCATTTAACCATTCTCATTTTTTGTCTTATTCTTTTCTCTTTAATCAGTTGTTGTTTAATAAATTGTATTTGCTTTGAACCTTATGAAGTGATCACTGGGCCAAGAAGGCCTGCAGTGTAAAGAGAGCACCTCGGAGTGGGGACACCCTAACTCCTGCCCCTACTGACTACAAGGTCGGGGATTAAGCCCCAGGAAACCTGGGCCCAGCCTTGTTGGGGTTTCAAGGACTCTGCTACTCAGGAGAGTGGAGGGGGAGCCCTCAGGATCAGGGAGCTGTGGGGTAAAGGAAGTGGGAACGGGGACTCAGATCCTTTCGCTGGTTCATTTCACCGGGGTGTATAGAAGCCAGGAAAGTTCCCCACAATAGCGGGATCGTTCCCCCACTTACACTAAGGCAGGGGTCTGGAGTGCAGGTTGTTTGGGTTGTGACCTAGAGTAGGATGGGATTGTGATCTGGGGCAGGGCATTGTGGTGCCAGATCTGGGGAGTATGAGTGCATGAGGGGGGGGCAGAGGATTTGGGTATGTTGAGTGGTGGGGCAAGAAGGGGATGGGGTGCCAGAGGCAGGCTCTGGCCAGGAGACTTATCAGCCAGCAGCCCAATCAGCCTGCCTGCAGAGCTAACTGCTTGCAGAGCTTAAAATGTTTC